ACTAGCTTACTTAGGCCGTTCAAATATGCGAGCAAAGCTTGAGGCTTATAGGAGTGCGAAATTTATGAAGCCTTTGTTTTGGAAAATGGATGCCGGGTGAGTTTTGTCATCTACTTATACAACACATTCCTAATTTAGAATTGCTGCCTTAGGGCCAAAAGGGAAGTCGTAATATTTAAAAGCAGGAATTAATTTCAAGCGTTTCAAAAGCAAAATTTACGGAAGGGTTAATGAGTTATTTTAGTAAACAATGCGTCTAAATCCACTCGATTTTAACATTCGTGTATGACTACGTGCATGTTCAGAAGTCGCTTTAGCAAAATAAAGTCAATAAATCATTTATCATCATTCACAGAAACTCTGTTTGTCGAATAATAAAAGAAGCTGTTTGTCAAGTACCCTTGCATGCACGTCTGAAAGAGAACAAGATCCATGTGCCAACCTCTACCCACAACAACTCGTTCAGGAACTGTTTACTTCCATACAACGGAATCTCGATTGATAGCCGAGGAAATGCATACTTGAATCCCCACAATGTAGGGCGATTTAAATAAGTGTGCATTGAAATTAAATGCCCTGGTCTCTCGTGATTGCATCAAACCACATTCAACTGTTTTTAGACTTAAAGCAAAAGGATCAGATAAGGCAGTGAACCTACTGATTCTGCGATACTTATCATAGAGGTTCCATTCCTCTGGCGTGGAAGGCATTCGCTCATCAGGCCGAAGTGGAATTGTTCCGTGTACCCAACAGTAGTCGGCCAGATAATTTTTAAATTCGCTGCCAGACGGCTGTACTGGAATGTAGCAAGAAATGGAGTTGAAAACATACTGTTTCATAGAAATAAGCAGGGTGCAAAGGAGTAGCAAAATGACAGTGAAGAGATTTAGTCGGTCAGCAAAGTCATCGACAGAGAGGTTAGTATTCGTTTGGAAGCTTCGGAAGAGGTCGATGAATTCCTTGCCCACCATGTTGGATTGCAGTTCTCCAGACGCGCTGTGCAGTGAGTGTAAGAAAGAGGGCTCGAGAGTCCGAGATAGAGCGAGATCTTGTTCCGGGTCAAAGTGTCGGTAGGGTGACTGGCCTAGCACGTTCTATTCTCTTGCGCCTTATGTGATCGTGGTCGTGTGCACTGGCTACACACGCCGCACACAGCACACAAGCCCTCATTCAGGAGGACGCCCACACACTCTTGCAGGCACGTATGCACACAGCGGACTGTACCAAGGGGCACATCGAATGAGAACAATGCTGACTCAATATGAGACACCTCTGGCCAGAACAACCATGTCTCTTCTGTCGCACAGCCGTATTTGCAATAATAGTTTTATTAACCGGTAAATTTTTTCATCACTGCCACAAGTTATTCAATTTTATTAAAATATTTTATTGCCCTTAGTCATACTTATTCACTGGCACTCCTTACTCTAATCAATTTTGAGAGAATTTGAATTAGCACAAAGTTGGTTACCCTATTATGACTAGAAGCACGAGAACAATGACATAGTTGGGTAGTACATACAAAGTGGTATCACGACCAACCAACATTTGGCTTGCATTTTATTGAAGTGCATCTGTATTTGCTAAATAAATGCCGATTTCATGCCTACATCACATTACTCATGTAACATGGAACACCAAGACTATGTATGCTGAAATAGTCAAGCCTCCAAACGAATCCTTCACCTTCCAGATTTTTGCGCTGCGAGGGAACGACTGTAACCCAAATGTCAATGGTTTAAGTAAAATACTACAAATGCGTTCTGAACAATAATATCCCTATTTTCCCAAAAAGCCACATTAATTTTGTCCAACAAATCTTTATGAGCATTCAATGACCTCAAATAAAGTACTGTGATTGCATTGCTTCACCGTATTGAGCCGAGGACAAACATGAAATACAACCCAGTTCCATTTTGCATGAAAATGTTTGAAGTGTGTCTTGTTGTAAAATTAACGTTGACTTGATGAGAGGTAGTTTCGAAGACCATGCATCATTCATTGCAATAACTTTAAATTTGGTCTGTATAGGAGATGCATTGCGAACGAACCGCTTATACGTCCTTGAAAAGACTGACTTAAAGCAACCCTTGCTGTACTACCTGCTAAAAATTATTCTCAAGTGTGCAGTTGCGCACCTTGTGATCAGCAAACCATCAAAAGCTTGATGTCGTAGTGCAATAACTTGTTTGCTTGACTACCTGTGTCACTGACTGCCAATTTTTATATTTCATGCTCGTGTGTGTGTGGACTGGACTTCGGGCCTGGCCAAAGCCCAATTCCTCTCCCTTCCCGCCCCTCCCCCCCACCCTGACTACATGCAGCATTCAGCCCTACTAAATGTCTTCATCCGCTTAGTGGAACGTCTTAAGATGATACTATTGTGTTTCCTTGTTTTATTTGCAGACTGCTTCATTAGGGGCGTGTTTGATTGCACAAGTTGGTTCAGAACCAAAACGAACCAGTATGTCGGGGAAATAGAGGGTTTCAAGGAAAGAGTTTGGCTGGTTTGATCAATTGCTAGAAGTTCAATGGAAAATCAGACCTGGTGTCGCAAGTGTCAGTTCAGAAAGATGATGCGTAAAATTCAGCGATAAAAACTCATGGCCTGTTTTGCAAATGAGCTCAAGTTTATATCGGTATTTTGCAAATCCTTTTGCATTTTAAGAACCACCTATAGCGGCCTTTCGAACGAAATTACTATGCCCGCCCAGGCATTGTTATTTTTCACACAAAGCAATGCTTTCAAAACAATCACGATCCCTCGCGTGTATTGCTGTTTTCACATCCTCAATGACAAAGTAACTAATTGTATTACATTTTCGAAAGATTGCTTCCAACAATACAATGAAATCACAGGTTTCCGAACTTTTCATAAGGCTACTTGGGTGTTGTTTGGAAAATAAAAACACCCTTTCCAATGCAAGAGTCATCTAGTTGATGAATACAGTTATTGTAGTTGAAAAGCTGCTGTGATGCACACCATTTGCTATAAAGTTGAAATTAAAATAGGACCTAAGAGGTGGACAGTTTTATTTTTGCACGCACGTGTGAGGAATCAGGGAAGGGAAGCTTTGGTTGTACGCCTACTTCGATGGTGATGCTGAATGCATCATTATGGTTACCTAACACCGCGTTCCGTGGACTACCAACTTAACTTGAAGTTTTCATCAAAGCCAGTACAAACCACTAGATAAAAGGACAAGGCCCTAACGCTAAGTCGATTATTATAAGTTCAAAGCGCTGCCTTGCTGTGGACCGCCACACATGAAGCGACTACCACCTCGGATATGTTAGGTATTAGTCCACCATTAGCACCTCCTCTCCCCATTAGGATGAAAATAGCTTCATTTAACCATTTATTTATCATTACAGTGCTTGATTTTAATGTCGAACTTATAAATGTATTACGTACACTACACGCCACCGTTTGCACACCGTCATATACCTTCGCAAATTCCAGTCACTGCTGTTGAGCCAGCAGCTACTGAAGCAAAAATAGGCTTATTTCGAAACGTATTTTTTGATGTGAGGGTTGCATAGCACATTTCATAGAAAGCACTTATAGTCGCCTGGACGATCCCCTGGCATCACGCTTAAAAAAGTCTGTAGGAAAGATTTGGGTGAGTCGCTACAGTCAGTAAAATTTCAGCTTTCAAGACAGCAATGACTGCGGCAGAACGCCGACCAAATAAAGGATTTGGAAAAAAAGCCACTGGAGTAATAATTTATCTGCGTCTTGTCATTTCATACACTAAATAAACAGGCTTAGAGCTAATTTTTACAGCATGACAAGGGATTTCACAAAGGGGGATCGTATTTCTGGCATTAGCAACTCTACAGTCGCGTGGACTCAGAAAGCGCTTGTATCTTTAGTCGGTTAAGCGAAATGCAAGTGTTTGCAGTTTTTTAAGTGTTGATGCAAGGGGGTCGATGCCAGCGCGCAAAATGATGAGAAGGTTTATCTCTTTCCAACAAATTAGAAAACAACTTAGATTGATGGTTAAAAGTTCTGCATGGGCAGGTGCCAACATTTAGATGATTTTTATCGCAAAAGTAGATTCAATTTCGTATTGTGCTTAGACCGAGTCTCCAAGTTATTTGATACATGCCAAGTGTCAATCCGAGTTAGAGCACGTGGTGCACACTTCCAAGCCTACGACGAAAAAAGATTCTTACCATTCCCATGCAACATACCGCATGCGTTTACTCATTCAGTTCGGCCAAATATAAGCCACTTCGGCATCTGGAAACATCCGCATGCTTATTAAAAGTTATATTCCAAGATTTAGTCGGGCCAAAATGGAAAGTGGACCTAAAACCAAGCGGAAATTAACAAAAAGGTGCAGCTTTTTATTTTTACAAATTAAACATACTCCCAGTGTGAGCTTCCGATTTGCGTCCAGGTGGACGGTTTACCGCCCTTTTGCTTGTCCATTCAAACATTTTAAACAGTTAAATTCGTCATTCAGACTGCTTGCAAGTCAAGTACAATACCAGTGAAAGGAATAAATTTCCATGTACTTATGAAAATTAAGCGATGGAATCGAAAATGCATGAAGTTAGCAGATGTATGGCTATGAATGACTGATTAAGTTTTAAAATTGGGGATGTCCTAGCCCTTCAAGATGTCTGAGTTGTCTTTGCTCAGAAACCAATCATTAGCAATGCAGGAATTTCGTTCATTGGACTGGCAGTTTAGTTACAAGATTGTGCTTGAATATTTTCCAAAATGAAACAATAAACATTAGCACAATAATTGTGGGTGAGAAGCTATTATTTTCAGTAGCACACAGCAACAAATGCGATGCAGCACGTTCCTTGTCACGCTTTAACACCATGCAATGACCTACTAATTTCTCTACATCCGTGTGCCGCTTCTTCGCCCTGAAAAGACCTCAGGCGATGCACCACCTACTTGTCGTAGCACATTTTTACCTTTACTTTTCAAAAGTAGATGGACAGTCGTACAACTTGACGAAGTCCTAATAAAATCCTAAGCAAAGTCCTCTCCTAAATTGATTAACATTTAATTACCTGATTTATTAGTAATAAAGTACATATGCATTTAAAAACTTTATAGGTAATATTCCTCGAGGCGTACGCAACCGCTGAACCCATTAACTCTTGAATTAGGCTCACGGTGGAAGCAAATCAGTTGGCGTATTATCAGATTCAGATTAGCCAGCCAATCATAAATTAATTCGGAGTGCGTAATTCCTCCCATTCTCGGGTATAAAAGGACATGCATTTTGAGGTAATGCCAGTTTTATGTTCGGAGGCAATAAATTAAGGTGAGTTTAAATCAGGCGGCAGCATTTTCGCCCATCACAAAACCTTTCCCATTTGTTTATTCCCTCAATGTCCACAGATAAGCTGTCTCTCTGAAATAAGCATCTCACCTACCACGCGGAAAGGATGTTTTGGTCCATCCCGTCAAATAATTTGGATTCGAATCGTCTTGTCCCATTGCTAGTCTCAATTAATAAAATCAGTGTTGGCGATAAGCTTAGTGAATGGACATACATTAGAAGGCATCTGCACCTAAAGAGGCCGGAAATTATCGTCTTCATCGTAATCAAAATGAAAATTTGTACCGTGTTAGACATGTAGATTTGAAAATTAGAAACGACTGTTAAATCTTTGAGCGTTTCACTCCTTCACAAAGGTATCATTTGGTTGTTTTCCTTGAGTAATAATACACGAGGACCACATTTATTTGTTTTACTTAACTAATGTTTCTCTTGTTTCGCGCCTAGAGTATTCATGTTCTCGTACAAATTTGCATTTTGTCTCTCGCTGGTCTGCTTCTCCTTGGTCCTCTTGGAGGCTCCACAAACAAGTGGAGTACGACTACAAAGACAACTCTTAGGAGGCCTGACCAATGGCGACCCTCTCGAAGATCCGGAGAACCAACTTTTCTTGGAGGACTTAAATAGCCTCTCACCCGACTATCATCGTAGATTTTCTT